AAATCTATAAATTTGACCCATACAATGTATTTTTGGCTATTGCTATTGGCTATACCCGTGCTACTTAGGTTTTGTGGTCCAGGGTCACATTTGTAACATTTGCTGAGATGGAGCAGGAGGGCTCATAAATAGGCCTTGTTATATCTCCGTATATAACAAATTCACTATTCAAATAATCTCTTTATAACATGAAATCTGTCTCTCTCATTCTCTCCAGAATGGTCACCCTGACAGATTGCAGTGTGGTTTACAAGTAGGAAGCAGCTTGTATATCTTGGACCTAGAGAAAAACCAGTGAGTAATTTCCTGTGTGTATAATCAGCATCTAATGAAGTTACGTAGATCATCATATTTGAACATTGGTCTGCTTGCAGAGATCTTTTGCCAAAGCCGCCTAACGTGTTCTACTACCTGCCAAACGGAACTGGGGTGTCCATGAAGGAGAACCCAGTGGTGAGTTGAGTCCTTTGTACGTACACTAGGGCACATTTATTTCACAGCGCTTTTTGGAATGTTGCAGTTATTTAAACAACTTAACATAAATTTGTTTCTGTGTCAGATGCATTGTTACTATCATGGTTCAGTGCAAGGTTTCCCTCAGTCCCGTGTGGCACTCAGCTCCTGCTCTGGGTTACGGTAATATTTGCTTTATATTTTTCAAATCTTACCACTTCCTGTGAAAGATTTAACTAAATTATGGTCATTGCTAAACTTTCAAAAAATATTGTGACTCAGTTTATTAGCAACCAGCAAGACCAGCTTAGATTTCAGAAGTCATGTAGTTGTTACTTAAGGCTGGAATACATTACACGACTTTAAAAATCTGAACAGATTTTTAAAACACTAGGCAACAAACACTTACCGACTTTGAAAATAGTGACAAAGGAAAACTGGCCATTATACACCGAATGACTGAGGATCATACGCTACCAACAAAGTTATGCAGAAACGCACGCCTTGTTGCTAGGAGAAGTGTGACAAATGAAAACAACACATGTTCTAAAATCGGCTGAAAGTATCAAACATGTTTGATATCCTCCAGCTAGATT